TTTCTAGAGGGAGATGGCTTTGGCGCTCCCTGAGGAGGATTGAGGTGATCCAGCCCTGGCATGCCTGAATGAGGCACCCTAATGTGTGTACAGGGACAAAAGCTGGCCCTTGAGGGCCCCAGCAGGCAAGAGGCCCAACTTTGTGTTTTTTTTTAAGGTGCCGCTCAGTGGAACTAGATCTCAACCAAGCACACATGGAGGATACTCCAAAAAGAAAAGGAGCCAAAGTGTTTGGGAGCCTTGAAAGGGGACTGGATAAGGTTATCACTGTGCTCACCAGGAGCAAAAGGAAGGACTCCACCAAAGATGGGCCGCGAAGGCTAAAGGTAAGTAGACTGGAATTCTTTAATGTGAATATCAGAAGCTGACTCCTAGCTGCGTTGCTTTTTTGTTTGTTTTAAAAAGAAAAGTACTGAATGAATTGATTAGTATTTTTTATTTCCTTATTTATTCATTTAGTTAATATATATTTTTCGAGCAACTAACATATGCATGTTACTATGCAGAGGGCTTTGAGAATGCAGAGGTTAATTAGATAGAGTCACTCCCTTCAAGGACCAAACAGCTATAATTCAGATATTTAGGAGCAGGTGGAGGGATTAATCACAGAGGCAGCAAGGAGGTGAGGAAGCATGGGGCACATAGGGGAAACTGAGAGATGGCTTCAGGATGGGGAACTCGAGCTCAGTTGTGTCTCTGACACACAGAACAGTCCCTGACACATAGCTTCTTTTGTAGGCTCTTAGGAAATACCTGAATGCATGGGAAGATTATTGAACTTTGAGCATGGTGTGTGAGGAAAGTAGTGCGTGGTGGGCTAGCAAGGTAGGCTGGGATGTCCTCAAGGCCTGGCTGAGAGGTTTGGATCTTATTTGCTAGACCTGTTATACTTTAAAAGGAGTAATGTATCAGTGGTGTGGACAATATATTTGGTATAGAAAAGAAAGGAAAATAAGCCATTAGGAGATACAAAATACTTTTTACTCTCTTGGATTCTCTGTGAGCATTCATCCAGGCATCTAATGCATGACACTTTTGTTTGGTGGAAGTGTAGGAAACAAGAGGTAAAGGTGTGAGTAAGACACAGCCCATGTCCTTGAGGAACTCATAGAGTGGCAGTGAACACAGGCTGTGATGTTGCCCTGACACACTGGGCTCAGTGCTATAGTGAAAACATGTTCCAAGCGGTGTGGCTCCAGAAGAGGGAGGAGAGAAGATGGTAGTGTTCTCATGACTTGGGGACTGGATCTGTGTTTAGTTTTTGCAAGGAGACTATTATATTGAACAAATCTGGGTGGTTTGAGGGAAGGAAAATGCAGAGCTGTTGGGCAGAAGGGTGTTTAAGCAGAGAATGAGAATGTTCTGAGATCCTATTTATATTCTGTCTTAAAGTGGAAGAAGATAGGACTTACCCATTAGTATTCACTGCCTCGTTGAACTTATGTAGTGCATGAACTTTACATTACATGTGGCTATTTGTTAGACACATCCTTTATCCTTTTATTCTGAGGTTTCTCTAGTTGGAGACAGTTATGAACTACTTCAAACTATGGTAGTAAGGAAACCACAGTACCATTCCACTAAAAAACATTAAATAAATAAAATTAAGGAAACTTGTTCAACCATACACATTATTGAGAAGCTAAGCAGTTATCAAATATCAAATGGGTAATGTTCCAAAAATGTTCACGTAATGTAAATTTTTTTGGAATCTGAATGCATTTTTCAATAGAAACTCCTGCAGTGTTTGTTAGCTTTCTAGGTACTTACCCAGTACTTCTAGAATGTAGGAGAACAACCACAAGATCGGTCTTAGGTTCTAGCTCCAGCTTCATACTGTATAGCTTTGATAAGTCATTCTATCCTTGACTTGTTCAATTTCTTTGTAAAATCTAGAGATAATGCCTACCCCGGCAACCTCACAAGACTCCACACATGGGATGCTACATTGCGTATGAAATGCTTTGTTAATATAAGGTGGTGTTCCATCGTCAGGGGTCGTTATTATTATCAATGTTGAGCATCTCAGCCTCCATGTAGCAGAACTGTACTCCTAATTAGCACAAACTTTACATCTGAAACTTAATCTAACTTTGAGTCTAACTTTAATGCTTTAAGTTTTGCTGAACTGAAGGACTTGTTTTAGGAAATTAGCTTCATATCTTCCACTAACTTCTTATGCAGTGTTAAAAAACTATAACCAGAAAAGTTGACAGAATAATATAAAGAATACTTAGTTTTTTAAGATAGCACATCATATATAGTTAAGCCCTCTTTTAGGAAGCAATTTATAAAAATCTGAAATTTAAATAAGAGTCTGAATTCTTTATTTTACAAAAGCAATAATTTAAATTGTGATTTGAAAGTGTTCAGTTTATTATTTACCTTGACAGAGCCAATTTAATTTAATGAAAAAGCCTTAGATTAGGAGCCAAGGTCCCATCATTTACACTCACCTTCACAATGTTTTCTATGTCAACATATCATGTGCACTGTTATTTATATGGTATTCTCTTTATATTGATTCTCTTTTAAAAAACAGATTTATAAACTGGGCATGATGGCATGTGCTTATAATCCCAGCTATTCGGGAGGCCAAGACAGGAGGATTGCATGGCCCTGGGAGGTTGAGGCCAGACTATATAGTGAGACCCCATCTCTTCAAAAAGATTTATAGAAGTATAACTGACATATAATAAATTGTACATACTAAAAATGTACAAGCTGAGCACGATGGTTCACACCTGTAGTTCCAGCTGCTTGGGAGGCTGAGGCGGGAGGATCACTTAAGCCCAGGAGGTTGAAACTAGTGACCTATGATGGCACCACTGCACTCTAGCGTGGGTAACAGAGCAAGAGCCTGTCTCTAAAATAATAAAATAAAAAATAAAATAAATAAAATATACAATTAATATGCTTTGGCATTATATATAACACCTGTGAAACCACTTTTTAAAAACTCAAATTTATATAAAAGGAAACTATATATTACTAGTTTTTGCTAATCATTTTTCTAAATCAGATTGGAACAAATACATAAATATTAAAAAATATTTATCTGTGTACCACCCAGAGTTATCTTGTGTATCTTGTATCATGCTATGGGAAACCCTACCTTAAGAAATTTATGTCTCTTCTTAGGCCACACGTTCTTATTTTGAAAAGTAAGGTAGTTGGTTCCTTTCCTACCTCAGCATTTTATTATTTATGAAAAGAACTCAAATCTGAAAGACATAGAAATTATGATATTGTTTGACAGTGAAGGTACTACTGGGAAGGCAGGGATTTTTATGTTTCTAGGACCTACTAAAACAGTGCCTGGTATATAGTAAACATTCAGTAAATAGTTATTGGATGAATGAATAGATACATACCAGTTAGGAATGAAATCATCTCTGATCCAGCCTGAGCTACATAGTGAGACCCCATCTCTACAAAAAATTAAAAAATTAGTGGGACCTGTTGTTGCATGTCTGTAATCCCAGCTACTTGGGAGACTGAGGCAGGAGGATTGCTTGAGCCCAAGAGTTTGAAGTTGCAGTGAGCTAATGATGACACCACTGTACTTTAGTCTGGGCAACAGAGTGAGATCCTATCTCAAAAAAAAAAAAAAGAAAAGAAAAAGATTATCTTTGAGAATTGTGCTCTTGGTCAATGAGAAAAAATAGTTTTTAAAAGGCGTGCCTGTTATATTCATTTCCTTATAGAATTGTCAAAGAATCAGCTCCTGGAATTCTGTAATATTCTTTAAATAATCCAGAAAGAATGAAGGAAACATATCCAACTATATACAAACCAAACTTTGTAGGATATTTGTTTCATCTTCCCACAGTTTACATTTCAAGACTGTTTCTATCATAGTGCGGAAAGGGAGGAAAGAGGTAAAGCTCAGATAGATTGATGTTATGTAATATTTATTTTTTTTAAGAAAAGATAGGTAGGAGAAGAAGTTGGAAGTATAAAAAAGAAGATAGTAAATTTATTTCTCCAAGCTTTCCCAGGGCCATTAGTTTACCAAGAATTGGCTGTAAATTCTTTCAGTAATTTTCTGGAAATAGTTCCATTTGGAAAGGTACTATATTGAGTTTTAGAACTCTAGATCCGGTAGGATGGTCTTTGTGTCAATGTAGAGATTTACTTCTCACCCCTTCTTTTTCTTTTTTTAAGCTTCACTATAATGTGACTACAACTAGATTAGTAAATCCAGATCAACTCTTGAATGAAATAATGTCTGTTCTTCCAGAGAAGCATGTTGACTTCGTACAAAAGGGGTAAGAAGCACATTTATAGGCTGTTGTATTTATTACTTAATGTCTTTTGGACTTTGAAAAAGTATGGATTGATCCCCACCTCCCATCCCCTGTCCTTTTTAAAAAATATGTCTCTCCCACCTCATTCCAAAAAACTTTTAAGATAGTGTCATTGTTTATAATTTATTCTCTTTTATACGAGCTATAAAAGTTTTTAAGGCACACGTATTGTCCCACTTTCAAAGCTAGACTTTTCATTTCAAAATAGCAAAATTTGAACTTCTTTCATTTTCCTTTTAGATCTATTTCCTTTGATTTTTAGCTTAATGATAATAGTTATAAATTGTGATCTAAATTTGTGAGAGGTTTCAAACAAATCAGGGATTTATATAGAATCCTTCTTAACTGGCTATTTTACAGGATTTTCAGTGCTTTAGGAAGTTATTTCACTTTAACTCTTCCCACTGTTGAATGAATTGCCCTGAAATGCTCTTTGGTTATGATCTCATGGTCTGAATCGCCAGACATCTTCTGGTTATGCAAGATGTCCATGTTTGTAAGCATTTCCATTCAGTTATATCTCTTTAAAATTTCTTTATTGAGCAACCAGTAGAGCCACAAATAGATTTAAATCATGTAAACAGAATTGTCAGTATAGAGTAAGATTTTCAGAAACAATCTTTTGCAAATATAATTTTATTTTTTACTTACCTATAAATGTTGGCAAGTGTTCCTTACATGAATCCTGATTTTCCTCTTTAGGCTTCATTAGAACACATCTAACTCATTGTGATCTCTTCTTCATGCTTGGGGCTTATCTATGGTTCCAGAACCTCTAGCCAAATCTCTATCACAGGCTTTTCTATGGTCTTTCCTTTAGTATATGAGCTCTCTATCAAGAGATCACTAACTAGCCATTAACCAATACTTTGTCCTTCTAACTTCCTAATCAACCAAGAGGTCTCTGCCTTGACCGCCTTCTTTTCTTTTTACATTCATTGCTTGTTTTTATCTTCTTTGACATAAAGCAGAAAGAAAGACAAAAGTTAACTTTTTCAGTGGTGTGGTGTTACAAATTTTGGTTATATTCCATTATCATCTTTTTCCAATCAGCATGAATTACTCACTACTGTCTCCCATATGACTAAATTATTCTATGCTTCATCATCCTGTCAAGGACTTTAACTAAGGGAACTCCTTTTGGCATTTCTGATATTGACTGCTTAGTTTTAAGAGATCAAACCCTTTCTCTAAAACACATAACTAAGTTAGAAAAAGAATGATATTTTGTCAAACTTCATAATACATAATAAACAATGTAATTTCTCCATACATCTGTGGAATAGTGCCTGATCATGTGCCCTTAAATATTAAGGGAACTGAAATTTAAAATCGATCCTATTGTTTATTGTTTATTTAAGATCAGTAAGACAGATAAAATGTAAAGTATTAATATAACATAAACTAATCCAAAAAATTTTATTTACACAAATTAAATGTATGCAACTTTTCCGGATCATACCTATTTCTTAGGGTGAATTTAAGGCTTCACTTAGACTGGGCTTTCCATTATCAAAGTAGCTAATGTGACAGTTCTAGCTATAAGTTCCATACATTTCAGCTGTGGGAATGTACCATCTCCTTGGGCTTTCTTTTGCTTTTCTTTTTTTTTTTTTTTTTATTTCAGCATATTATGGGGGTCCAGATGTTTAGGTTATGTATGTTGCCCTTGCCTCCCCACTCCCCCCTAAGTCTGAGTTTCAAGTGTGCCCATCCCTTGGATGGTGTGCATTGCACTCTTTGTGTATGCAAATACCCATCCCCTCCTTCCCCCTCCCCCCTGCCCGACATCCAATAGATGTTATTCTTATATGTGCACTTATGTGTTGATCAGTTAATACTAATTTGATGGTGAGTACATGTGGTGCTTGTTTTTCCATTCTTGGGATACTTCACTTAGTAGAATGTGTTCCAACTCTATCCAGGAGTATACAAGAGGTGCTATATCACCATTGTTTCTTAAAGCCAAATAGTACTCCATGGTATACATATACCACATTTTATTAATCCACTCATGTATTGATGGACACTTGGGTTGTTTCCACATCTTTGCAATTGTGAATTGTGCTGCTATAAACATTCAGGTGCAGGTGTCTTTCTTATAGAGTATCATTTGTTCTTTTGTGTAGATGCCCAGTAATGGGATTGCTGGATCGAATGGTACTTCTACTTGTATCTCTTTAAGGTATCTCTGTATTGCTTTCCACAGAGATTGCACTAGTTTGCAGTCCCACCAGCAGTGTATGAGTTTTCCCATCTCTCCGCATCCACGCCAACATTTATTGTTTTGGGATAAAGGCCAGTCTCACTGGAGATAAGTGATATCTCATTGTGGTTTTGATTTGCATTTCCCTGATGATTAGAGATGTTGAGCATTTTTTTAATATGTTTTTTGGCCACTGTTCTGTCTTCTTTTGAAAAGTTTCTGTTCATGTCCTTTTCCCACTTTGTGATAGGGTCATTTGATTTTTTCTTGTTGATTTTCCTGAGTTCTAAATAGATTCTGATTATCAGCCCTTTATCGGATTTGTAGGATGCAAAAATTTTCTCCCATTCTGTAGATTGTCTGTTTGCTCTTGTGACAGTTTCTTTGGCTGTGCAGAAGCTTTTTAATTTGATGAGGTCCCATTTATTTATTTTGGTTGTTGCTGTGATTGCCTTTGGGGTCTTCTTCATAAATTCTTTGCCTAGGCCAATGTCTAGAAGAGTATTTCCAACATCTTCCTCTAGAATTCTAATAGTTTCACTCCTTAGGTTTAAATCTGTCACCCAGCGTGAGCTGATTTGTGTGAGAGGTGAAAGGTGTGGATCCTGCTTCAGTCTTCTACATGTGGCTATCCAGTTTTCCCAGCACCATTTATTGAATAAGGATTCTTTTCCCCAGTGTATGTTTTTGTCTGCTTTGTCAAAGATTAGGTGGCTATATGAGGATGGTTTTATATCTGGATTCTCAGTTCTGTTCCACTTGGTCAATGGCTCTATTTTTGTGCCAGTACCAAGCAGTTTTGATTACTACAGCCTTATAATAAAGTTTGAAGTCTGGTAAGTTGATACCTCCCATTTTGTTTTTATTGCCTAGAATTGTTTTTGCTATGCGGGCTCTTCTCTGGTTCCATACAAAGCGTAAAATTAATTTTTCTACATCTGTGAAGAATGATGTTGGTATTTTAATAGGGATTGCATTGAATCTGTAGATCACTTTGGGTAGTATAGACATCTTAACAATGTTGATTCTGCCGACCCACGAGCATGGTATGGTTTTCCACCTGTTTACGTCCTCTGCTATTTCATTCCTCAATGTTTCATAGTTCTCCCTGTAGTCTTTTGCTTTTCTTTCTGTCATAAAGTGTTGTGACGATAATAACCTCTTATTACTATTAGAAAAACCTCAAAAACGTGGGTGCCTTTCTGATAGGTGAGTGGCTTCAGCTTTATTTATATGAAAGACAGAAGTTTCTGATGAGGTGCACACACAAAATATTCCTCATCTTCCCTGTGCTTTCCTTTGTTGTGAACATTGTGGAAATCGCCTAATGTTCACGGATTACACTGTTGAAAGGGTTGCATAAGGAATGCCAGATTTCTTGAGCATGAATGGCATGTACAGCTGTTAAAGAAGGACTTTTCTTTAGAGTACGGGAGAATTCTGGTAAAGCCTTTTCATGCTTATTTTTTCTTAGGATCCTAGTTCAGCTTCTGGGAAAACACCAGTCACACTCCATTACTAAAGCATAGCTAGGTCATTTGGAAACTGTAAACAGTAATACATTGCTTAATATGAAATAATGGTTCATTTTCTCCACTGGCCTCCTAGAGGCTTAGAAAACTCTCATATTATACAGAATATGGTTCTCCTACTAACTGGCTTCTTATCTGTTTTTTCACAGTTATACACTGAAGTGTCAAACACAGTCAGATTTTGGCAAAGTGACAATGCAGTTTGAACTAGAAGTGTGCCAGCTTCAAAAACCTGATGTGGTGGGTATCAGGAGGCAGCGGCTTAAGGGCGATGCCTGGGTTTACAAGAGATTAGTGGAAGACATCCTATCTAGCTGCAAGGTATAGTTGATGGATGGTTTCTAGCCCACTGGCTGAGTGTGGGTGTGATATAGCCTACATGGTGACTGGCGTGATCGGTTTGATTTTAAAGTCCATTGGAACTACAAACTCGTTTCAAAAGAGCTATCTTAAAACCAGTATCTTTTTGTTTTTAAACAAAAGATATTTTGTGGATGAATCTAAGACAAGCCCATCTGTCGTTATCTGTTACTGTCTTTTTAAATCATGTGGCTTTGTATATTAATAATTGTTGACTTTCCTAGATTCACTTCCATATGTGAGTGTAAGCTCTTAACTGTGTCTCTTTTTAATGTATAATTTCTCTCTGAAATAAAACCTTTTGTGCATATAGCAAGCTTCTCTTCTTTGTATTTGATTTTGATCCAAATAAAACCTCAAATGGCTTCCTATTAAATAGAGACTATTTGGAGTATGTTTTATACGTTATCAAATATGCCTTGGGCAGAAAAACAGATAAGAATTCATTTGCATAATTTTTTCCTGTCTCTGATTTAAGTAGGATTTATTGAGATCGTTAACTAAGTCACAGCTGTGGTTACCAGAGTTAAACAATACATTTAATATGTTGAATAAAAGAATATTGACTTCAGTAAGTATGTTCGGTCAACAATGGTAAGTATCCAAACCATGAACCCCATGAAATGTTACTTTATGGTAATTTCCCTAAGTCTCAATGTTGGCCCCAAATTTATATTTTTATTTCATTTTATTGGTCTCTAAAGGCCAGATCTCAAGTTACATTTGTATGGATTTTACCAATTAAACTAGTTGGAGAAAAAATAGTACTCTTTCTGGTCAGTAGTGAGGGGAGTGTTTTGTCATTCATTTATTCAGTAAGCCTTTACTAAGTGCTTACAAGCATTAGGTCCTGGGGTTGAAGTTGATACTGTCTGAACTCAAGGAGTTCAGAGTCTATTAGCAGAGGCAGATGCACAACACAAGCCAGCGTTTATAGCATAGAGGGGATGATCAACTTTTTATGCAGTTAGGAACGATTTCTTGGAAGAAACAACATTTGTCTTTGAAGGATATATAGGAGTGCAGCAGAAAAAGAAAAGGGAGTAGGACATTCTTGGCAGCAAGAACAGTATGTGCAAAGGCATGGAATTTCAAAATAGCATTATGTGTTTGGAGTAGAAGCAGAAGGTGGTGGAAGGGAAAAGTACCAGGAGATGAGAGGTTAAAGTTTAGATGGAAGTAAGTGATGAAGGATCTTGAATGCTCCACTAAACTAAGTGGGTTTTTTTGACAAAGGAGAGCTGTCAAAGGGTTTTTTATAACAGCTTTATTGAGATATAATTCTCAAAAGTTTTACCCTTTTAAAATGTATACAATTCAATGTTTTTTAAAAATATATTCATAGTTGTGCAAACATCACCACGATCTAATTTTAGAACATTTTTAACATCTCCAAAAGAAACCCCATACCCATTAGTAGTCACCCTCCCCACCTCCAGCCCTTGGCGACCACTTATCTACTTTTTATCTCTATGGATTGACTGTTCTAGACATTTCATATAAATGGAATCATACAATATGTGGCCTTTGGGGTTTGGCTTCTTTCAGCATAGTGTTTTCAAGATTTATCACGTTGTAGCATATACTAGTACTTCTTTCCATTTTATAGCTGAATAATATTCCACTGTATGCATACATCACATTTATCTATAAGTTGATAGACATTTGGGCTGTTTCCACTTGGCTATTATGAATAATGCTGCTGTGAACATTGTGTATAAGTTTTTGTGTAGACCTATGTTTTCAATTCTCTTGTGTATATACCTAGGAGTAGAATTGCTGGGTTATTTAACATTTTGAGGAACTATCAAACTGTTTTTCGAAGTCACTGTATCATTTTATGATCACACCCAATGATGTATGAGGGTTCAAATTTTTCCACATTCTCCCCAACACTTGTTAATGTCTGTCTTTTTAATTTTAGCCATCCTAATGTGCGCGAAGTGGTGTCTTATTGTGGTATTGATTTGCTCTTCCCTAACGATGATGTTGAGCGTCTTTTTATGTGCTTATTGGCCATTTGTATATCTTTTTTGAAGAAGTATCAAGATCCTTTGCACATTTTTAATTGGGTTGTGTTTTTACTGTTGAATTGTAAGAATTCTTTATGTATTCTAGATGTAAGTCCATTATCAACTGTATGATAATATATATGATGATATAATATTAAATACATGATATGCAAATTTTTCCATTCCGTGGATTTTTTTTACTTTCTTGATGGTATATTTTGAACAAAAGTTTTTGATTTTCTGAAGTCTGGTTTATCTACTTTTGTAAAACATGGAGTACGATTAATCTTCTATCCTATGGGAGATGGCATGGTCTAGAACAGTGGTTCTCAAAATTTTTTGACCAAGAAGCAAGTACACATAATAGAAACACTTGTGCATTAGTAGTATCTGATTTGGGTTTTAATTTGCATTCCCCTAATGACTTTGGGATCCACTACACATAAACATATATATGAAACACTACTTAGCCTTACTTTAAGTGATACTGTTTTCTATTCTGTTTTCTCTTACAACCTTCTAGTCTGACGATTGTAATTTTTAAATTGAAGTTTTTAGTATGTTTACTTTATTTATTTTTTTTGAGATAGTGTCTTGCTCTGTTGCCTTTCTCCTTTGGCACCTTTGTTAGAAATCAATGATCCGTATGTGTGTGGGTCTACTTCTGGACTCTATTCTGTTCCATTGCTCTACATGTATATCCTTATACCAATATCATACTATCTTTATTACTATAACTTTATAGTAAGCTTAAAGTCAACCAGTGTGGATCTTCCAACTTAAAATTGTACTGGTATTTCCATATGAATTTTAGAATCAGCTTGTCAATCTGTACAAGGAAACTTTTGGGATTTTGGTTAAGATTATATTGAATGTGTAGTTCAATTTGGGGAGAATTGACATAATCTTAATAATATTGATTCTTTTGATCCACGAACATGGTATTTGGTCTTCTTTATTTCTCTCATCAATGCTTGTATGGTTTTTGATGCTTTTGAAAATGGCATTTTAAAAATTTCAATTTCTAATTATTCATTGCTAGTATATAGAATTGAGCTTTATATATTGACCTTGTATTTTGAAATTTTCCTAAACTCACCTATTAATTATAGTAGCTTTTTTGGGTAGATTCTTAAGGATTTTCTGTGTAAATAATCATGTCATTTGTGAATAAAGCCATTTTCTTTCTTCCTTTTTAATCTGTATGCCTTTTAATTCCTTTTCTTACCATATTACATTGGCCAGAACCTACAGTATGATGTCTAATAAAAGTAGTGAAAGAAGATATCCTTGCCTTGTCTTTGATCTTTTGGGAAAAGAGTCATTCTTTTACCATTAAGTGTGATGTAACTTAGGTTTTTTGTAGATGTTTGCTATCAGATCAAGGAAATGCCCTTCTATTCTTAGTTTGCTTAGATTTTTTTTCTGTGAATGAATGTTGAATTTTGTCATGTGCTTTTTCTGTATCTATTGAGATGATCATATGGTTTTTCTCTTAAATTTGTTCGTATGGTAAATTACAAGAAATTTACTTTTGATGTAATTACTGATATAGTTGGATTTAAAGCTACCATTTTACTATTTGTTTTTCTTTAATCTGCCTGTTTTATATTCATCTTTCTCCTTTCTTGTCTTCCTTTAGATCAAATACTTTATGTTATTATTTGCCATCTATTAACTTGTTATAATTTCTATGCTCTCTTTTTAGTGGTCATACTAGATTATAACATGCATCATTAGTTTATTATAGTCTACATAGCACTTTACAAAACAAAAACTTTCCAATAGTTTAAACACATTACCCCCTCCTGCTTTTTCCATTATTGTTGTCTGCATTTTAAATTTCAGAAGACATTGTAGTTACTGTGTTACAATCAGTATTCATTTATATTTACCCACACATTTACCCTATTTGTTGCTCTTTATTTGTTCTTGCATCTCCATGTTTTTGTTTTGGGTCATTTTTTTCCCTTTGACCTTTGCCTAAAGTACTCCCTTTTATATGCATTTTAGCGCAGGTCTGCTGTTGGTGAATTGTCTCAGTTTTTGTTTGTCTGAGGACATCTTTGCTTTACTTTTGTGTTTAAAGATTTTCCCACTGGATATAGAATTCTAGATGGGCAAGTTTGCTTTCTTGTCTCTAAGCATTTTAAAGATGTCATTCCATTGTGTTCTGCCTTCTGTCATTTCTTTTGCCAAATCATTTTATTTTTGCTTCTTTGAAGGTAATGTTCCTTTTCCTCTAGCTGCTTAAAAATTTTTTTCTTTGTTTTTGGTTTTCAGTAGGTTGTCTTCGATGTATGTGTTTTTGTTTTGTTTCCTGGAATTTATGCTGGTTAGGGTTTATTGAGAGACTTGAATCTGTATGTTGATTTTTTTTTTTTTTTTTTGGTGGAGGTGCTGGGGAACAAACCCTTTATGTTGATTTTTTAAAATCAGTTTTGAAAAATTCTCAGCCATTGTCTCTTCAAATATTGTTTTTCTGTTCCATTCTTCGTTTCTGGGACTCCAGTTACATGTAAGGTAAGCCTTTTCACTGTGTCCCACCTATCTTTTATACTCTTTTGTGTGTTTTCCCCTCTTTTTCATCGTGTGCTTCAGTTTGCTGACTGGCATGTCTTCCAGTTCACTAATTTTATCTTCTGTTGTGCCTAATCTGCAGTCATACCCATGTATTGATTTTTAAATGTGGTAATTGTATTTCCAACTTGTAAATTTTTATTTGATTCTTTTTGAAAACTGGATTTCAATTCTCTGTTGAAATTTTCCATCTTTTCATCTATTCATTTTGTCTTCATTTTCTTGAATATAAATCTCAGAGATTCAAAAAAAGGTCCTTGTCTAATAGCTCCAATTCAGAGTTAGTTACCTGTATAGGTCAATTATTTTATTGTCTGTTTTTTCCCTTGGTTGTTCATCATGTTTCTTGACATGTCTAGTAATTTTTGTTGAATT